TTCATATGTATATATTTCTTTTAAGTTCAGTTTAATTCCATAAACAATATAATATTTATAACCATTTATCAGTGATAGCTCTCTGGATCTCTGTTAACATCTCTGTAGATTTAAAAGATTTAAATTTTTTTCAAAAATTTAATTTTTTTTCGTGGAACATAGAATACAGTAAAACGAGTTGTGACCCATTATTAAGGAATGGAAAGCGACGTTTATCAGTTGTTAATTTATAGTTGAATTTATTAAGTCAATGTATGATATACATTCTAATGTCAAGTATGTCGATATGTATAATTTGATTACACACTTATAGTGAATGGCAAGCTTAATAAATTCATTATGTTAAAATATTCCGATATATGAACCAGCAAATTTCGTCGATGAAACTCATTTGAATTCATTTTTCGGCAAAAATCTTGTTATCTTTTGTGGTAAAAGATGACGGAAGATGTGATTTTGAAATGATGTGATATTGAAATCGATCTTCATATCTAATAAAAGGAAAAATATGTTTAAGCTGTTGTCAAAGTGTGATATCAATTTTAGTAAGTATATGTAGCATAACTGCCACCGAAGAAGAGGGAAATGAACGTGAAAAATATTTTTACAAGACCTACAAATAATGTAATCACTAATACCTGCGTTTTTGGCATAAATATAAACTCCATGAAAAATCTAAATAATGAATTCTACGTGTACGACAAAGAAGTAATTGTCTTCAGCAGTCTACTTTTCTTAAAATTCTACATATTTAGAAGTTTGCTTTGGCTGGCACGAATACTTAAGAAATTTTTTTGTGAAAAAATTTGTTCCGAGGTTTTTTTGAAATTACTATGAAAATTAGAGAAGACAAAATTATCATTTAACCAGACATATTGCAATTGATGAAAAGATAAAGATGGCAAGGCGGATTTAACTGTCAACGATAGCGTCAGTAGCACAGGCGCGTGTTTACTTTTTTCTTTAGAGGCTTTGATAGTAACTTGATATTAATGTATTTTGCTATTCACGAAATTATAATGAATCAGAATGTAAAAAAAAATCTTTAAAAAGAAATTAGTTAAATTTGGAAAGTTAGTGAACAACTATCTTATGAAGCAATTAATTGCATGAAATATTTCGATGCAATAATTAATGAGGTTATCAGAATGTATTTAACTGTTTAGTATTACACAGATTATGTGTCAAAAATTTTGAATTATCTCTGAAATCACCAAAAATGAAGCTCTTTATTATAGGCTACATTCTATTTGGACGTTCACTACAAGCTATCATTCTAACTTTATCATTCACCATATGTCAAAGGAAGATAGAACAATGCTTACAATACTTGAACGCTCAAATGAAACACAGCATGAAGAAAAGACAAAACATACGAATATCGATTTATAGATCTTATTTTGATGATACTTAAAAAAACCAGAAGAAATTGATCTTGAGCAAATGATGACAGAGAAAACGTATTTTAAATTATGGAGCTTATCTTCCCTTCGATCTGGACCGGAAAACACATAAGCAACAGATTTGCTGAAAATGAAAGTTTTGCTATTTCATCTGCTAGCACGTTGCGAATGGAAAACTTACAGTAAACATCACTCAAGAGCGCTAAAGATGGCTTCAATATGAATGATGCTTTTTGCTTAAGTGTGGAATCAAAGAAAAAGGCGTATCATACTCTTGCAATTAATCTTGTCACTAAAACACGCTAAGTGTAAAAAAATATTATTAAATCTTTGCATCTTAACAATTTAGAATTAAAAGACATTTTAATACAGAAAAGAATATTTCGCTTCTTTATTGATTAATTAGACGCGCGTAACGCGCACGTTATATATTTTTTTAAAAGGAATTACAAAAGGAATTACAAAAGGAATTACAAAAGGATTACAAAAGGAATAAAAATTAAAATGATACTGTTACACCATTAATATTTTGATATATTCAACACACACAATTATCAAAACAATCTTTGCAATGACAACCTTTCTTCTTATTAATGCGTCAAATATTAACTTCAAGATTAATTACGTCGTGTATTTCAGTTGATATATACGGTGTCGCTTTTGTTACAGTCGATAATGAAAGTAGCTATACAAGGAATAAAAGCAATAATTATATTAAATTTGATTGATTTAACTATAAGCTTAGCGCTAATTTCTAATATCAAATATGTATAATTTTTTTACATAATATATAATATTATGTCATACACCAAAATTTTTTATATTTTGCAGACAAATATAAGAATTATTATATTAGATTTTTCTGACAACCATACATTAATATTTTATAATTTACCAATCAAATTGCTATTAACCGATATCCATTAACAGTAAATAAAAAAATATATAACACAGTAAATATAATTGAAAATAATAAATAAATCGTGACTGGCAAATTTAATATCCTCTATTTTGATTTTAAAAAGTCACATTGATAACAGCGAGAATATTTACGAAGCTTGTTCAAATCAATAAAGAGAAACATCCATTACCTCCATTAGCATTAACTATACTTGTGTAAGCGATGACGAATCAGAGTATATATAGTGCAGTTCAGAGAAATTGCGCCACAGCATCAACAGTAAGCCGCCAGCTGTCAAGGTGTAACGACGTATCTTGATATCATTGCTAGTAACACGATAAAAATAATCAAACTAATTGCCAAAGATACAAAAGTTTATTTTATTTTTAACAAAATTACATCGTGCATTTTGATAAAGTGGAATAATAGTGATATTAACATGATATACGTAATTGCTTTGTCGATAATAGCGGGAGCTCTAGGTCTTTATTATTATTTCTTCAAAGATTTGAATTACTTTAAAAAACATGGCATAGTGCATATTCCACCTCTTCCTATACTGGGAAATATGGCACCAGGAATTCTTCATCGCAAGCCGCCAGCCGAACACATTACGGAAATTTACAATCTGCATTCTGAAGCGAAATACATCGGCATGTATGATTTGTTATGTGCTCCAATTATATTGCTACGAGATCTCGAGCTTATTAAATCCATTACGTTGAAACACTTTGATATGTTCCCGGATCATCGCGGCTTGGTAGAAGATGAAACGCAAGATCCATTATTTGGTAAAAATCTTTTCTTTCTTCGCGGAGAGAAGTGGCGACAGGTACGAGCTTTACTGAGCCCAGCCTTCACGTCTAGCAAAATGAAAAATATGTTCAAATTAATGTCAGAGTGCGGTGCCGATTTCGGCACGTTTTTGGCGCAATTGCCACCAGAACAGAGGATGATGCAAATGAAAGATGCCTTTAATAGGTATACTAACGACGTGATTGCCACTTGCGCTTTTGGCATCAATGTAGATTCTATGAGAAATCCAAAGAACGAATTTTACGTGTATGGAAAAGAGGCGACTACTTTCGACAATATTGCCTTCGTATTAAAAATATGCACATTCAGGCTCTTACCTTGGCTGGCGCGATTAATAAAATTGAGATTGATTCGTCAGAAAGTAGCAGACTTCTTCCGAGATCTCGTGAAAATCACCATAAAAACTAGGGACGAGAAGCATATTGTTCGGCCTGATATGTTGCAATTGATGATGGAAAATAGGGATAAAGAAGGGAAGATAGAATTGTCTATCGAAGATATGGTAGCACAAGCGTTTATCTTTTTCTTCGGTGGCTTTGAGACTACTTCAACGTTAATGTCTTTCGTTGCTCATGAAATCGCTGTAAATCAGGATGTTCAAGTAAAACTTCAAAATGAGATCGATCGGGTCTTGGAAGAAAATAATGGACAAGTACTTTACGAAGCTGTTAACGCTATGGAATATTTAGACGCTGTGATCTGCGAAGCTCTTCGAATGTATCCGGTTCTTGTGGTAGTAGACAGAGTATGCGTAAAAGATTTCGAGTTACCGCCGTCATTACCAGGATTGAAACCTTTTACTATAAAGAAAGGACAGAGTGCATGGATACCGATTTACGCACTTCATCACGATCCTAAATATTTCGAAGAGCCGGAAAAGTTTGATCCCGAACGATTTCTTGGCGAGAAGAGGAAGGATAGTCTCAATTGCGGAGCCTACCTTCCTTTTGGCCTTGGTCCCAGAATGTGTATAGGTAACAGATTCGCATTGCTGGAGACGAAGGTTTTGCTTTTTCATCTATTAGCCCGTTGCAACTTAAAAACCTGCGAGAAGACACCGATACCAATTAAACTCGGTAAAGGTGGCTTCACTATAATGCCTGAAGGTGGTTTCTGGCTGAATGTGGAACCAAGGAACAATACGCATCGCTCTCTTGCAACTAATTCAATCAATTGAACACATTAGACGTAAGAAAATTGATTTGCTTTATTTGATTTTTTATCTTTAATTAAATTTAAAAATAGACATTATTTCATTATATTTCATTACATTTTTTTCACTGTTATTAACTAATACGTTAATAAGAAGAAAATAATTTTATATCCGTAAAATTGCTGAATTTATTTATTCATACGTTTTAAAATCATAATTTCATACTTAAGTTCTTAATATTTTATATGGAAATAATTTTTATAAAAATCGAAAGTTTGTCTAAAATATGTTTTGGTTTTTATATAATTTGATGTTATTTAAATTTTTAGGTAAGAGGAAAACAACAAAAGCATAAAGAAACAGAACATTTTCTTGTAAATTTTTGGATAAGGAAATGTTTACGTTATTTCAAATTTAGAATATAAGGATATCATTCTATCAGGGACATTTTGCGAATTTTATTATCTTATCTTTATTATCTTATGCTTCTAAGAAAATTGCCAAAAAAAATATGACGTCAAGCAGTAATTGGCAGATTATATTTTATTTCTTATCTGTACCGCTATCTATGCTATCTGCTTTGTAATGTAACCTTTTTTTTATAATATTTGTATTTATTATTATTATTTGTTCAATTATTATTAAGCGCAATAATTTTTTGTATTTTTCTTATGATATTTTGTTTTAAAAAAATATTTTTATAACTTTTATATTGAGTAAAGATTTTTATAGACTAAAGATAGAAATGCTTCGAAAATATTATTAAGATAAGTAATTACATAACTATATAATAAAAATTAAAAGTTTATTTACATAGAAAATGTAAAAACAATACATTATAAACAATGACATTATAATAGAATGCATTTATATATATATATATATGTGTATGTATAAAATATATGTATAAAATATATTTTTACATTATCTTTGAATGTACGCTTTCTGTTTGATTACGCTTGTTTCATCGAATTGACGTCTAAAAATTATGATATAAAACATGTCGCAGTAAATCATCATAATTTGATGTAAAAATTGTATTAATTCATGAAAAATTTAATAAATATATTGCACAATGAAACTGAATTTATAAAATTAAATTCTTGTTAGTTAAATTTTAATTATATAATTATAAGAATAATAATTATATCAATTAATTGATACCTACAATTTTGACGCTAACTTTTAATAAAATTTTTTGTTAATTTAACTTCAGTATTATTTTATACAATAAAATTTTTTATATTTTATATGTCGATACAAGTATACTAGTTATGTAAGATTCTTCCGACAACGAAATAATATAAATTAATATTAGTTCTCTATAATAAAATCTTTATATTTTTATAAGATTCTTTTCTTATTTCAAAAAATTAAAAATTCTGACATTAATTTTTTATATCAACTCTTTTGCAAAAATAATAAAATTATTTATTTACTGATATCACCGACGAAAACTATTAAAGATCATTGACCTAGATATATTTTCATGACAAAGAGGCCTTAGAAATCCGAAGAAAATTGCAGAATATCGATTACTATTAAGTATTGATATAAATTTATTCAATCTAGTGATTATATGATATATTTATTCGGAAACACATTGACAAGAAGAAAAAATATAAACAGAAACTGAAGAACTTGGTAAATAGATAAAATTACTTGATAAATAGATATCTCAATAGATATATCAATAATTTAATTATACACATTTCCTATCAGCAAAACTGATTTTTCTTGTCACAGATTAAAATTGTATTATTTGAACAAAATTAAATTGAATTAAAATTACAAAAGGAAAAAATATGACATCAGCTTTACAAGCTTCTAAATTATTTTCTGTGCAAAAAGTCTTTTATCTCCATACTAGCATTGAGATACTATTAAAAACAGACGATTTTATGGGAATTTGCATAGTCACAAACAATTGTTAAAAGTTTGAACAATTAGCCTACAATATAATATTAATTGATAAATTTATTATTCCGATATTTTTAGACCAATATATTTACAACATGCACCCGTTTAATTTAATTAAAATTACTTTTCTATGGTTATCATTTTTGCTTGATTATCTTAATTATATATTAAGGTGATGTATAATGCCATCCATCCTCTTTTCCCCTGAATTCATGACACTGTCTTCTTTTTTAGAGCATCCAGGGATGGATTCTTTGAAAGCGTCCGAGATAATTATAAGTGTTTAAGAAATCTTCTAAATATTTTGTTTTGATTCTTCTCGCATTACTCCGCATTACCACAAATAGCACAGATATCGCATAAAAGAGTTAAAATTTGTTAATTTTAATACCTAGTAAAACTTAAATTAAACCTATAATAAAACTTTTTATTTTAAATCAAAATAGTCTGTGTTTATTTATTTTCCAGTTCAAATTTCTCTTTGCTCTGAATACTAATGAACAAATTAGATGTGAAATAATAATTTATTTATTGTTATAATCAATTTCATTAATTTAAGCACATTTTTGTACACATTCGGGGAGGGGGGAGGGGTTGTAACCGAAAAATTCCAGTGTTTTTGACTTGTAAGTCCTAATTTTGAAAATTTTAATATATAATATAATATGGCAACCTTATGTATAACAGTAAAAAAAAATTTAATTCTGTAGCAATATATACGATATTATAGTAAGTCTGCACACTTATTTATAAAGCATTTGTCTTATAAATAATCATAAATTTAATAATTTATTATCCGAACTCTATCTATGTAGACATATAAGTATATATATAGTTGTAATATAATATTATATAACATTAAATATATATATAAATATTCATATAAACATATGAATAATGAATTATTAAACTCATGATTATTTATGTTCATGATACGTTCTGTAAATAAAAATGCAAATTTAAACTGCGATATCATATACATGGATGCAAAATTAAAATTTCCATTATAATTATATACTACTTTGTAAATAATCAAGTATAAAAATAATAATCATATGCAGAATAAAGGCAATTTTAAATAAAATTAAATATTAACAAGATGAAAAAATTACAAATACATATATTCAATTGAAAAATATTTCTACTTGCGTAAGCAATGACGAATCAGGTAGTCTATAAAAGCGATCACGCCAAAATATAAACAGTCGAACATCAGCTATTAGCAATATGTAATATCGCATCTCTACTAATAACACAATAAATAAAATTTTCCAAGTTAATTGCAAAAAGTGCAAAAGTTGATTTTAAATTCTATGAAATATACAATATTTTGATTCGGGAGCATAACGGTGATAAATATATTAATATGATATATATAATCGTTTTGTCGATAATAGCGAGTGTTCTAAGTTTTTATTATTATTTCTTCAAAGATCTGAATTACTTTAAAAAACATGGTATATTATATAAACCACCTCTTCCTATACTGGGAAATATGGGACCATCAATTTTTGGTCTCAAATCGTCAGCCGAACTTATTAAGGAATTTTACGATTTGAATTCTGAAGCGAAATATGTCGGTGTATTTGATATGCCGACTACTCCAATGATAGTGGTGCGTGATCCCGAGCTTATTAAATCCATTACGATAAAATACTTTGATACGTTCCCGGATCATCAGAGCATCTTGGCAGATGAAACGATGGAAGATCCATTATTTGGCAAAAATCTTATATTTCTCCATGGAGAGAGATGGCGGCAGATACGATCCTTATTGAGCCCAGCCTTCACATCTAGCCAAATGAAAAGTATGTTCAAGTTAATGTCAGAGTATGCTGCTGATTTCAGCACTTTCTTGGCGCAATTGCCACCAGAACAGAGGATGATGCAAATGAAAGATGCCTTTAATAGGTATACTAACGACGTGATTGCTACTTGTGCTTTTGGAATCATCGTTGATTCCATGAGAAATCCAAATAACGAATTCTACGTACACGGCAAAGAGGCGACGGTTTTCAACGCTATGGTTTTAAAATTATGCATATACAGATTTTTGCCTTGGCTGGCGCGATTAATAAAATTGAGATTGATTCATCAGAAAGTAACAGACTTCTTCCGAGATCTTGTGGAAATCACCATAAAAACTAGGAACGAGAAACATATTGTTCGGCCTGATATGTTGCAATTGATGATGGAAAATAGGGATAAAGAAGGGAAGATAGAATTGTCTATCGAAGATATGGTAGCACAAGCGTTTATCTTTTTCTTCGCTGGCTTTGAGACTACTTCAACGTTAATGTCTTTCGTTGCTCATGAAATCGCTGTAAATCAGGATGTACAAGTAAAACTTCAAAATGAGATCGATCGGGTCTTGGAAGAAAATAATGGACAAGTACTTTACGAGGCTGTTAACGCTATGGAATATTTAGACGCTGTGATCTGCGAAGCTCTTCGAATGTATCCGATTCTTGTGGCAGTAAACAGAGTATGCGTAAAAGATTTCGAGTTACCGCCGTCATTACCAGGATTGAAACCTTTTACTATAAAGAAAGGACAGAGTGCATGGATACCGATTTACGCACTTCATCACGATCCTAAATATTTCGAAGATCCGGAAAAGTTTGATCCCGAACGATTTCTTGGTAAGAAAAGGAAAGACAGTCTCAACTGCGGAGCTTATCTTCCTTTCGGTCTTGGTCCCAGAATGTGCATAGGTAATAGATTCGCATTGCTAGAGACGAAGGTTTTGCTTTTTCATCTACTAGGCCGTTGCAATTTAAAAATCTGCGAGAAGACACCGATACCGATCAAACTCACTAAAAGTTGTTTTACTTTAGTGCCTGAAGGTGGTTTTTGGTTGAATGTGAAACCAAGAAAAAATATGCATTACACCATTGCAGCTAATTTAAGTAATTAAGTAATTACGGTAATTTAATTATGTAATTAAGTAAGAATGCGTTAGATGTGAGAAAATTGATTTTATTTAATTCATTTCTTATTATTTTAGTCATTTTCAGTATAGTACATTTTTAAATCACTAATAAGGAAAAAATAAATTCATATTTTCAAATTTATTAAAATTTAAGAATATGCGACGCTTGATCTTATAAATAAAATTTCATAAATAAGTATGTTTTTAATATAGTACAAGAAAATAATTTTTCTAAAAATCGAAAATCCTGAGTGTAATTATATTATTATAATTATATTATTATATATCTTAATTTGTATATTGAGTGAAGCTTTACGGAATGAAAGTAAAAACTTTTTTAAATAATTACTAAGACAAGTAATTGGCTATACATAGCTATACGACAGAAAATAAAATATAAATACAAAGAACAAGAACGTTACATAAGAGAAGATTATAAAAATTAATTATTTACAAGATAAAACATTGTATTAACAATTTATTGATGTTCATATGTATATGAAATATATACTTTTATTAATATACTTTTGAATTTGTCTTATTTGCTATTTATTTTCATTGAATTTATCTAAAAATAACTTGATACAGGAGATCCAGGTTCGATTCCTGGTTTCGTGGTCAGACCCCGCCGTGACGCACACTCTCCCTTCTTATTAGATTATTTATATAAAATCTTTCATATCTGGAATAAAGAGATAAATATTGTTTATCGTAACACGAAGATTAATTATCATATCTCAATATGTGATACATCGATTTTGTTCGTAGACATTTTAATAATATAATAACATAATTCTCTACATTATACATGTTTCCTCACATTAACATTAAAAGAAGTGTTTACGGAGCTTAAATCAAATTAAAGAACATCCACTGTTAATTCTACTTGTGTAAGCGATGACGAATCGGAGTATATATAGTGCAGCAGATAAACTGCGCCACAGCATCAACAGTCAACCGCCAGCTTTCAGCGTGTAACGATGTATCTTGATATCGTTACTAGTGACACGATAAATATAGTCAAACTAATTGCCAAAGATACAAAAGTTTATTTTACTTTCAACAAAATTATATCGTGCATTTTAATAAAGTAAAATAATAGTGATATCAATATGATATACATAATTGTTTTGTCGGTGACAGCAGGTGTTCTAGGTTTTTATTATTATTTCTTCAAAGATTTGAATTATTTTAAAAAACATGGCATACTGCATAAGCCACCGCTTCCTATACTGGGAAATATGGGATCGGCATGCCTTCGTCTCAAACCGATAGTCGAGTTCGTTAAAGATTTTTACAATCTATATCCTGAAGCGAAATACATCGGTATATATGATATTCCGACTATTCCAGTTATAGCAGTGCGCGATCCCGAGCTTATTAAATCCATTATGTTAAAACACTTTGATATGTTTCCGGATCATCGAAACTTTATAGATGAAACGCAAGACCCATTATTTGGTAAAAATCTTTTCTCTATTCGCGGAGAGAGATGGCGGCAAGTACGATCTTTATTGAGTCCAGCTTTCACGTCTAGCAAAATGAAAAATATGTTTAAGTTAATGTCAGAGTACAGTGCCGATTTCACTACTTTCCTGGCGCAATTGCCACCAGAGCAGAGGATGATGCAAATGAAAGATATCTTTACTAAGTATACCAACGACGTGATCGCTACTTGTGTTTTTGGAATTAGTATTAATTCCATGAAAAATCCAAAGAATGAATTCTACGTATACGGCAAAGAAGCGACCACATTGAGTTCTGTAACCTTCCTAAAATTCTACATATTTAGAAATTTGCCATTGCTGGCACGATTAATAAATTTGAAATTCGTCCGTCAGAAAATAGCAGACTTCTTCCGAGATCTTGTGGAAACCACTATAAAAACTAGGGATGAAAATGGTATTGTTCGACCTGATATGTTGCAGTTGATGATGGAAAATAGGAGTAAAGAGGATAAGGTACAGCTGACTATCGAAGATATGGTAGCACAAGCGTTTGTCTTTTTCTTTAATGGCTTCGAAAGTACTTCAACGTTAATGTGTTTCGCTGCTCATGAAATCGCTGTAAACCAGGATATACAAAAGAAACTTCAAAATCAAATCGATCAGGTCTTGAAGGAGAATAATGGACAAGTACTTTACGAAGCTGTTAATGCTATGGAATATTTAGATGCTGTGATCTACGAAACCCTCCGAATGTATCCAATTGTTGCGGTAATAGACAGATCATGCGCAAAAGATTTCGAGTTACCGCCAGCATTACCAGGAAAAAAATCTTTTACTATAAAAAAAGGACGCGGGATATGGATACCAGCTTATGCACTTCATCATGATGCTAAATATTTTGAAGAACCGGAAAAGTTTGATCCCGAGCGGTTTCTCGGTGAGAAAAGAAAACATATTTTCAACTGCGGAGCGTATCTTCCTTTTGGCCTTGGTCCCAGAATGTGCATAGGTAACAGATTTGCATTGTTGGAAACAAAGGTTTTACTTTTTCATCTATTAGCCCGTTGCGATTTGAAAATCTGTGAAAAAACACCGATACCGCTCAAGCTTGCTAAAGGCTTTAACATGAAGCCTGAAGGTGGTTTCTGGCTGAATGTGGAACCGAGAAAAAATATAGATTATATCCTTGCAGCTAATTTAAACAATGGAACACTTAGATGTAAGAAGGTTGATTTGATATAATTCATTTTTTATTTCTTCTTGACAAATGAATAGTACAAATTATGTTATTATTTCTATATATTATTTTAAGACATTAATAGAAAAAGAATAATTTTACATCAACAAAGTTGCTAAAATTTAAAAATTTGTTACAATAATAACAATTTAAAATTAAAATTATATAGTTAAGTATGTTCTTAGTATAATACAAGAAGATAATCTTTATAAAAATCGGAGATCTTAAATATCATTATATTATTGTTTTTATAGAGTTTAATATTATTTAAATTTCAGGTAAGTGAGAAAACAATAAAATCAGGATGAAACAGGTTTTTATATTACTGCAAGTTTAACAACTAAGAATATCATTGCATCAGTAATATGTTGCCGAATGGTATCATTTTATCTCTTATATCTTTCCAAAAAAACAGTAAAAGGGAAGAGCCTCACAAAGATTGACAGATTAAATTTTATTTCTTTTTTTGTACCGTTCTGTTCACTTCTGAAATATAGATTTTTTTTTATATTGATAGTACAATTATTATTAAGCATAATAATCTTATGTTATAATTTTTGAGAGTGATCATTTGATATTTTTGTAAAAAATGTTTTCATAACTATTACGTTGAATGAAGATTTATGGAATAAAGATTCAAGAGCTTTTAAAAAATTATTAAAACAAGTAACTTAAATTACTAAATAAGATCTAGAAAATAAGGACTAGAAAATAAAATAAATTATAAGCATAAAAAGCATTACAAAAATGATATGACATTAGAAAAAATTGTATAAGGATTAATCACTAGACGTTATTTCAATATAGAATATTATTTTCATTAATATATGTGTATATAAAATATATGTACATAAAATATACACTTTTGAATTACTTCTGAATGCTCTTTGCTTATATGCTATTTGGTTTTGATCGGATCGACATCTAAAAATAACTTGACACATTACGTCATACTGCGCAACAGAGCACTATTATACAGAAGCACATCTTATACAGAAGGATAAATGTTATTTGTGATAACAAGATTAATTGTCTTACGACAAGTAATGTATCAAATCTGTTCATAAACATTTTATAATATTCCATAATTATTAATATCTTTCGAATGTAATATGTATATTTAATATAATAAAATTTAATATAATAAATATTATTTTTCTCTATTCTAATATCTAAATAATATTGTGTTTATGCACATGTTCTTTTATTCTTATTTAATTCACAGTTATGACATTTA